AACTTTCGCAGAACCACCTCTTGCAAAAAATTCCATACTTTTTGCAAATTAACAGTTTGTACAACCCACTCACTTAAACTGTATCTGACAGTTTATAATTAATATACTTTTACTAAATTAGGAGATAAGTATGTTAATTGTTATTAAATGTTTTACTGTTAGTTATTATGAGCATATTAAACAATTATTCGATTCTGAAACTAAAATTTTAACATTGACTCTGATGCAAACTCAATTCCAGATCAAATTAGGATACACAATGAATAACATCAACGTGTTATAAAATTCACAATTAAGATAACTAAAATATCCACAAGACAAATTGAAAAAGTTAAATGAACTATTAAACTATTTATTTATGAGAAACTAGCTGTTGTACCAGTGCTTTGCAACGGGAAGAGGACACAAAATATAAACATTTTAACCTTTACATCTGTAGTTTAACCTTTGCATATAATAGTTACACATCTGCCAACGCTTTTAGAAACAAAATTCAACTTTTATGGCCTTAATAGAAACGTTTAAGTTATAACTTTTAAATCTGGTAAGTAGTGGATACCACCATTTTGGTTTTGATTAATTTTAAATCTTGCGTAGGCTGATATGAGAAAAACTGACCAAATCTTGAATAAAACTTTGACATACATGATTTACCTTCATCTCCCTTGATTACATATCTTTTAATTTACTAACGACATTTTAAATTTCAATTTTGAAGTTGCAAAAATACTACCTAATTATTAAATTTAAATGAACATTTTTTTAAATTTCACTCTTCTTTTTATTAAATCACAAATCCTTCCATCTTCAGTTTCTTCACTCACAATAACTCATTAGCAAAACTAAGTAAGCTCTTATACACTTTAGAAATATTGCTGTGCCTTATCAATACAGTCTTTTGAAATATTAAAGAAACTATATCTATATGTACTATAAACATTTTTAAACAAATAATTCAGCATTAACGACAGCAGACAAAACTAATATGATTATCAAAGCATCAAGGACTAAAAAATGTAATAACAAATACAGTATATGTTTCGTTGCATCTCTGATTCTACTCTACAAAAATATCAACAAACAACTTAATATATAAACCAGTTCTTTTAATCAGTTTCATCGTCCATTGCCTTTACATGTTCACACTTACCATTAAGTAAACATAGTAACAGGCATTTAATTGATTTTAGAAACAAAAAAACACTGTGTACTGCTTAGTTTTATGATATTTTCCTTGGTTTAATTTATCAGTGGTGTGGAAAAACACAAATAATAAATGTATAAAATAAAGTACATGTGAACTGAAAGCTATGTTTTAAGTTATTGTGTTTTGCTAAACCTATGCTTAAATTAAACTAAAGAATATCATCAATAACTAAATTGTACGTCGTTGATTTTTGTTTTCTAAAATCTGTTGTATATGTGCAACTATATTTAATTATCAAATGGTAATACAAAATACTCTTATTTTATCTTTTTACCTAAATATACGTATAATAAACAATGTTATGTGCAAGTTATGTTGAGTTAATCTAACACATGTTAAGCAGTTGGAATTTATTTAAAGTAGCCTCCAAATTCATACAAAATATGTATACATTGTAATTTTCATACTGTTTCCATGAAAACATACCAATAACATTATTTTCATAACTTAGACGCTTTAAAAAATCCAAAGCAGAGTTGGAGTTGATACAGCAACGGTTATAGAATCCTTTGTTTCTATAATCATTGACATAGTTTTAGAATAAATAATCCATGATAAAAGGTTAGATTAAAATAAACCTACCTCATAGTTTATTTAATTTCTTTGTATCAGCTGTCTAAAATTGTGAAATATGTAGTTTAGCAGTTCTTCTTGTTTGTATTTAAATGTCAAAGCAAATATAAACAAACATTGTTAGTGTTCTCATTGCAGCCATGGAGACCAATAAATATTTACTTTTAAAATGTTCACATCAGAACTTTTAAAGCCAAAGGGCCAAAGCCTACGGTCAGTATCGAAATGCGAATAGTCCTATAATGGTCCTTGGTATGGTAGATATAATTTTGTAAAATTTAAGCCCAGTTGGTTCAGTAGTTTTTGCACCTATTAGTAACACACATACAGACAGACACCATTACATTTTTATATAATAGTATAGATAATAGTATAGATATATGAGAAACTATTTAAAAAAAAAGAGGAACTATTGATTTAAGGCTTAACGAATAATCAACACTTTTATTCCCGTTTCTTAGAATTAGAACATATCCAAACTTTATGTAGGGACTGGATTCCGTGGCATTATCCGTGAAATCGGAAAATGTCTGGAAAGTTTGCGCGATCAATAGTCTAAGATGTCGCCGAGTTCGCGGGATATAAGGTATGTTAAATTGTCGTAGAAAACCTAAATATAATAAAAAATAATTTGTCATTGGTTGTTATGTTACAAAGCTTCAAGATTCATTATTTCTAAAAAGAATCAATAAAACTAACTGAATAAAAGTACAAAAGACATTTAAAACAATTTTTACAGACATAAAAACCGGTGATCACTAAAGAATATTTAACAGCTGTCTTTAAGGTTAAAGTGACAGAAGACTGACTGAAACCAAATAACTGACAGTTGGTCTGAGCAATTGCGGATGTAACTGGAAATGAAATGTAACTGTGTCGGAACTGAAACGTGTGAATCGACCTTCAAACAACTATCAAATTAATATTTATTACTATAATAGCAATGTATTATCTTTGACTAGCAATACAATACTTCAGTATTCAATAGTCAATGGTATTATATACGACAACACAGATGATTTACAATTTTGATACAGTAACTATTTAAGTTTAAGGCAGCTAGTAGAACCTAACTGAATCAGCAATATGAAATTATTTTACTCAAGATATTGATAGCACGCAAAATACATGATACTAAAATGCGCTCAAAGTAAAAGAATTACCAAATTAATTTCTCATACACATCACTGAAAAAATTTTACGTCAGCAAGAATCTTTAATATCAATTTTCAAAGTAGATTCTTCCATAGAATGCTTGGTATTATAGCTCCATTGAGTTTTACAGCGAAATCCAATGATCCATAGTACTGTAGTTGAATTGCATTGTTCCAAACATGAAATCGCTATCATTTTTTGATTGAACATCTTTTCTGTGAATTCTTTACTGCAAGAGTTGAAATAACGCTATTGCAAATATAATTGTTCCAAATTCAGTCCAACTAATTAATGGGTATTTTTCAATGATAAGGCCTATATGTTGAGTATTTTAATGTTTAAAATAATGTAAGACTAATATTAAGATTGGGTTTTCTAAATTAAACAAGAGGTTTAATGACTAAAGCAGTATCTTTTAATATAATATACAACGAAACAAATTTATTACTATTCTTAAAGTCTGAATTAAATTAAATGTAGTAAAATTATCATGAGTAATTAATTGTTTGATGGCTAAAAAATTAAAGGGTCACACATAATCCACACGAAAACAATACAGTGTTTTCTAGAAAATCGGTAGGAAAGATACTACGATTGATCTAAACCAAAATATTTTGTTTATTTCCATGTAAACTTGAAACACTTTTTGGTACTAGGGGGTTGTCACGAGTCCGGGATGAATTGTCACATTAATTCAGGCTAGACCTAGGGGTTGTGGCATTATCACTCAGATAAAATCTATTTCTGATTTGGCGTGATTTGAACTCGATAACTCAGGGACCCGCGCTGTAACCACTAGACCAGCTCACTCCCACACCTCAAGCACTAGTGGATAAGATGCCTTAAACCAGAAAAAATAGAAATAAAAATTTCAATTTAGATAATCTTTGTCACTGACTACACTCAGTAACATAATTTTGTCAACTGAAAAATAATTTTCAAGTTATCCTTAGGACTCTTAAAAAAGTGTTGCTAAAGATTCAACATTCTAAGCTTCTTTGCGTTATAAATCAGATGTTGTCAGCCTGTGTAGTGGTGATAAAAGCAATACCTCATAGATTTTAAACATCGGGTTTTGTTATTACTACTTCTAAAAACATTTGCTCTGTTGCTTACCAGCTTTATGTTGAATGTACTTTAAATTTTTAATTCACTACAGCTAAGTTGGTAATAAGGTGCTAATAAGGTGGAATACAGTTGTAACAGCTTCAAGTGATGTATTGTGTTTACGAATTTATCATCATGTTGGTATTCGCTTGATTTGTTTACAGTAGTTGTAAATATGTAACCTTTTGGAGGAAACATTTATAACTAAAATACAATCAACACAGTAACTTAGTAGACTTAGTAAATTTGTAACTGCTTTATGGAATTTATATTCAAAAAGACTACGATAAAAAGAAACATAAGTCATAACGTCGTTATAACCTATAAGCAATCATTTTGTACGAAGATATTCGTACTTAAGTAATAACAGTAATAATTACACATGGGCAGGTTGGGGTTGCTCTTTAGACGGATTAGGAGCCATTAGTGCCAATCAATACCAAACCTATTAGCGCTGCTTAGTGCTTAGATCAGCTACTAAGTAAGCAACCAAATAATTGATGAGCAAGGATAATAATTGTGCTGTTGAATTATAGTTTGTCGAGTATCGGTTACTGAAGTAATATTCATAGTCAAAGGTTGTAGGTATAATAGTAACTTTAAATCCAAATGAGAGTTTTATGAAAACATTGAAAGCCTTGATAAATTACCTTAAGGTTAAGAAAGGGTTAAACGGCAGTAAAACCTTGGTTTGTTATAAGCTTTTTTATCTTAATTATAACAGATTATACTATATATACTGTACTCTAAGAAAAAAACACTTTAGCCACAGTCGAATAATACTTCAGGAGAAATAATTAATATATATTTTTAGAATTCGTGATTTGAAAAGATTTGAAAAGGTGAAAGATAGTAAAAAATCCAGTTTTTATCACAATATAGTAACGAATCATCATAAACCACTATCAACGCGGTAACTCTTCAAAAACACTATTCGTGGATGGTACTCAAATATTAATTACCTGCGCAAAGCGTGCACACTTTCCCAAAGTTTGAAGGTGAAAAAGTAAAACACCTCACAAAACATCATGATGCTGAACCCGTTGAACACGCCAACAATGCCGAAACAGTAAGCCATGAACTGTGCAAGGTTGGTAAAACTGACTCTCAGCGTGGAGTAGAAGCCACTCTTCTTGAAGGATATGTACAAAATGCCCGTGTAGTCCTTGCCGTAGACTTTGAGGCTCTCGAACTCGTAAGTCAAGGAGGTGCAGTCCGGTAGACATTGGCAGTCGCAGGATCTCGCTCTGGAGCACAAGGATAGGCAGACATTGACTGAGGAGTTATGGCGGGGAAGAAAGTAGGGGACACAACCACACATTTGTAGGGAACAGTTGGCAACACATTCAGCCTCGCAGTTGCGTTCGCTGTAGTACTTGAACATTGACAGCCCCCTCTCATGAGAGTAGTAACACCCCCTCGCTGTAGGCAGATGATTCTCTAGGTCAGCTTCTGTGGTGACCAACTCCGGGATAACTCTGATGTGTAGCCCTTCTCCCTCGGCTATCATCAGTTTGTTCTCAAATATGAAAGGAACGTCTACCGGGTTGTGGATGGCGAAACGACCAACATCCTGTTTATTCGGGTTGCAAAAGTATTTACCCTGTCTTCTCTCACTTATCCTGAAAGTGATGACGTGGTCGTCACTCATGTAGGCGGGGATCGTCTCGTTGTTTCCGTTGAAGTAGATCATGTTTTCCAAGGTAAAGTTTGCTCCCCTGTATCCATGGCCGGTGCACGAACCTCTCTTCAAGGGTAGAGAAAGCACAGTGGTTTCCTTATAAATGTCTTCATGCTTTAGGCCGTTGATTGTAAAGCACATGCCAGACCCTGATATGAAGTGTTGAAACACGTTTTCGTAACAGCTTAAATCGTAGTATTGCATTATCTTGTACGTACTATCGTGGGCCTTCCTCTCACGAGTGATCATGAATTCGCACATCGGAAAAACCTTCTTGGAAAACCTAGAGTACTCGTCGTTCTTCAGAAAACTTTGGATTTCCTCTTCAAAAACAAACCAAGGATTCCCGGAGAGCTGGCCGTTAGAGCTGTTCCTACAGATGCTGGAGGCAAAGGCCAACGTTGCTTTTTCGTCAAAGTCACAAACACTGTTAAAGTCACATTCACCTGTTTGACCGGTAGAGTTGCAGAAAAAGCACTTTTCCAAATTCCCATTGTAATCGTAACTGTTGTTAAGAGAAGGCGCCAAACATATTGAGATGGCAGGAAACGGTATCTCATTGACGTAGGTTAAGTTGTTCGAGATAGTTCTGACCACTGGTGATCTTTGCCAGTTATGGTACTCTTCCTTGATGTAGATGGAACTGATAAGAAGAGCAATCGCGTGGAACAATATCCACATGTAAGCGTGAAACCAAGACTTGTGCCTTTCTCCGATGAACTTCAGCCCCGGCATACTTATAGACATCATCATCTGCCTGAAATAAGACCTGGCAAAACTATCTTCCGTGGAAAACTGTTCATTGAAAGCCAACTTGTCGTAGATAATATCAACTTTTTTGGAAAGCTCAGCCAGTTGTGATCTATCGATGTCAATATCGCTGTACTCATTTCTTGTTGAGTATCCGTAAACATCTGTGAATTCCTCCAATCGTGCAACCCTTTGTGCAAGCTCATTCAGATCGGTTGGCTGCTGTTCTTGAGAAGGGTTTAACAATGAGTAACCCGTTATATGTTCCTCGAGTTGAACAAATCTTGATTTTAGTTCATTCAGAGTTGTTCGAATCGACTCCTGTTTCTTCATTGACGGAATTACGTCATGCATGTTTAAACCCCTTCGCCAATATTTAATATCAATGACCTTTCTTACGATGTTGTTGAACTGCTTGAAACCAAACTTACTACATACAAACTAAGCATTAATAATAAATATACTTCAACAAGTAAACTTTGAATACGTAACAAAATCATATAGTTCACTGACAATAATGTTACTCCTTACACAGTGTTCAGCACATACAAACTGCATGGTGGATAGCGTGATGAATATGTTTAACCTCTAAAGGTTGACAAGTTTATTGTTGTTTCCGTATTAACGGGAAACAAGGTAGCCACGCCCACTCTAATTATATTTTCATTATCTAGTAGTGATACATGTAAAATTAATTCGTTTGTTGTTTCAATTATTTGAGAGTACTACAGTACATGTTGGTATAATCAGCATGGCCATCATTTATTTTCTTGAGGATGGTGGCAGGTCTAGGTCATAGCATAGTTGTAGTTGAAACTTTTTAAAAACGTTTATGTCTGATGTTTTGAATAGAATCACGGCTGTTCATGCGTATAGAACGGTTCTGTCCTGTAGGACCACGCTCAAATGGCAATCGCCAATGGTTTTAACATTATGATTATCCCACAAATGGTTTAGGTTTATTTTAAATGCTAAGAATATAGTTCTAGAAGAATGAATAGGTTCAAATACGATTTTTGATAGAATACTCAGAAAACTAAGTAACGTTTTTCAGAACAGAATAATCTTTAACCATGATTAGAACAATTAAATTTCACTTGTTGCAAACGTTTAAATATTTTAATAGCTTGTTCGATTGAAAAAAACGAATCGATTGTATTTATGGTTAATATTCTGTCATAAGGCACAGTATTCTCACTTATTCACTCAAACGCACAACCAAACTTAGCGTGGTAGATGTATAGAGTTTTGCCAATAATTCTTTTCTTACTCTGTGGTGTGGTGGAGGATATAAAACACTCTGCACGTTGTTTACCCAACTCAGTCTTGAATACAAAGTGGCAATTGACTTTTATGACCTCCATGATTCGTTGGTAGCGAAGTAAAACTAACTCTGACGTTGTGCAATAAAATGCCAAGTGTGGCTCTTTATAGCTTTTATTCTGCTTTGATTTCACAATGGATTTAAGATTAAAATTTACAATTGAGTAATAAGTAAAATTGTGTATAGGTGAAACTAAACTATTTGTAAATACTTACCATATTAAAACGTATATAAAAGTAAAAAATAATAAACTATTCATAAAATAGGTGTTGATTTGGATTTTCTGAATTAAATTTAATTCTAAGAGTCTTTTTTCAAGTTTATGATTATTTCCTTACATAAAATTATTGAAAAACTCCCACCGATGGATTCAAGACTATTTTAATTCTTGGAAATCTCAAAAAGTTTACAAAGCAGACCAAGAGCTGTTGCCTACAGGGTAGCTGGGTTTAACGAACCGTTAAATCCTTCACTGCAAGCTTAATTTGCCTTGAAACAAAAGCGTAAGCCATGAGCTCAAATATTTCATGTGTAAGAATATTTGCTAAAGCTGGAGTCAAAAATATAAAGCAAGAACATAATATATAATTAGAAAAATTGCAATATTATGTGTATAATAAACATTGTATTCGTAAATATTTTAGTTTTTTGAGTAATCATGTCAGTAAAATAACATTATCTTAGTTATAACAGTAAATTGTTGTCGCAGCTACACGTCATGTTTTAACATTTTTGATTGGATTTTGTGCTCAAGATTTGGCAAAGATATTACACCATACAAAAAAAGAAGTTTTACCTCAGACTCTAAGATAATCCCAACCCCAGCTGCAATAGTTTTAATTTTAAATGTCATGATTTTAGACGAGGTATGATTATTCATTTTGTGTGCTCCATTGTAGTTCATTTTTGTTAGAATCCAAGTCTCACGATTGAAAAATAAACATAAACACACAATCGTTCTGGAGAATCAAACTCGACGATTCGCGAGACCAGAAAACAGCCCTGCTTCCTCAGGGCAGGAAAACCCACGGGTCGAAAATTTTTCAATTTGTTGTAAATTCTTCCAACCGTTGTATTGACAAAGAAATCAGTTTGTTGGACTTTTATGAAATGGACAATACTAACTTTAATACTTTCAATTGAAATGGCAACCATAGAAAGTAGGTATTTTAAGCCAAGTACGAATGGAGATGAGGGTAGGATGAGTGGCGCGATCCTGTAAACTTGTTAGTGACTAAGGCTGACATGTTCCTTAGACACAGCTGTCAGTAGCATATACAAATAATGGCAACTAGGGACCTACAGTTTATAGTGGAATCCGAAAAAAATGTTTGCCTTGGTATTACCGAATTGGTCTAATTATCAGGATGGTACTGCAGATAGCCGTAGTACTCACTAGTGCGGATGTCAATCCACACCAGGGAGTATCGCATCCACAGTGCATGAATATAAATATCCACAATTCGTGACCAACTATATAGTAGTATTGAGTATAGTATAGCCACATATGTACTATGGTATTAATATACATTTTTATATCTCAAAGGCACTTTACAGAAGGAAGAAATAGATTGTTTCTCGAGCGCCAATTAGGATCTGGATGAAGGCCAGCATTGGCTCGTTGGACAACTGTAAAGCTCTTGTAACACAGCAAAATCTGGGGACAAATTCATATTAAATACTAAAAAAAAATTTTACCGTTTTGTTCTATAGTTTTGTGATTGTATGGTATTATTATCACATTAAATTTAATTCCTTGGTCAAATATTTAATGATTAAATAAAACAAATCCTTTAAGAAATCGATGAGTAAATTGTATTAATTCACAGTCAAATTGTAAATATTTCTTTACTAGTATATTATGAATTATTTTCGGGCATCAGCTTAAGAAGGCATCAACATCAAAGCTTTTCATTGAATATAAGAGGGAAGCTTAAGAGGATTGGAAACTTTATAAGACCTTGTCAAAACAGCTGTGATACCAATATTGCATGCTATTCAAACTAGGATACGGTTTACATAATACATTTGTATTTCTTTTGTGGTATGAATCTATCTGTAGGATTTTAAATACGGTTTGGTGTTGTAAAAAATGTAAATAAAACACTATTCGATTCACGTATATGTTGTGTGCATATTGCCGTGTTATATTTAAAGTGGTAGGCAATACAAAAAGTTTAACAGTATAGGTCCTAGTGAATTACCCATGAAGTTATACATTTAGTGAAGTCATTGAAGTGAGCTATTAGGGCAGGTCTCATGGTTGGACTTAGATCAGGATCCGCTTTATTTTTCGTTTTGATGTTCCCATTGGCAAAGAAACACAATCTATTCAAACTCATATCCAGAACATATTTTCTCTCTATATATTTATTTGATTATTGCCTGTCAGCGCAAAAACGTTAGCAAAAATCGTCCAATTTTGATGAAATTTGAAACGTTAGAACTTACGTTTATTCGATCGAGTTTGCTAGCTATTATCGGAAGTGAACCGAGTTTTGGGGTTAAAACCAGGCTTTTCTAATATTGTACCCTCTAAAGAAAGTTTTTCAACAATTTATTCATAAACCAATTTGTATAGCTTTTAAAATCAATCAATTTATTAGATTGAAGCGTTGCTGTATTTTTATTGGTAACAAAAAAGTTTTTTTTTCAACACGGTAAATTTGAAATTTAGTTCTGAAAGTTATACTTATGTGATATGCGGTATTACCATCCCTGCAGCAGTCAGCCTAAGTACTTGTTGAACCTAATGTTATTCAAACAGGGAATAAATATGACAAGTTTAAGGGAATATTTCAGTGCAAATCTTAAAAGGCAAATGCAAATTCTGCTGAAATTCTGGTCTTATGTGATCGTTGGAGGTATTTTACTAAGAGGTATTTTTCTTGCAGTGTTCTGTAAGCTGGGTTTTCCTAAGCGCGGAAGTAGAGAGCGGAATTGAAATTAACATGGCATTCCGCTCCGCTTCTAGGAAAACAGTTAACATTAAATTGCCTAAGACAAGTGGAGTCCGCTCTCCGCGTTCCTCTCTCCGCTCGCCGACTCCGCGCCTAGGAAAACCCGGCTTAAGGTAAATCCAAAATAAAGTCAATTTTTTTAATGTCCAACTTTTAAAATCAAGCTCGGTAATTATTGCGATGAGGGTGACCAAGAGTACTATAGTAATTTATATATAATTAGAAACTAGATTCTTACCTGAAAATAATGGTGCAAACATTTTTCTGTTGTCACAAAAACTTAATTAACTACGATTTTAAAATTTTTTATGTATTAGGAACGTTGAATCTGCACTACAATGTTTACACTGTAAAGACGAAGTTAATAGCCAAACCACATTTATTGATTGATTATGTGCCATTTTAATGTAAATATTACCCTCACAACCCACACTTAGAAAAGTAATTACGTTAATTTAAGTAGGCTATAACTTATGTTATATTTTATTAAAATTAATTAACATTAATAAACACCTCTAGGTCGGATATATTTAATCTGGATCTGGTCTGGATTATGAAAATTGAAGAAGGAATTCATTTCGTTCTTCTCTTCACTTAACCGAATGACTTAGCTTAGGTTTTGACCATGTAACCGTTATGTCCCATTAAGATAATAGTGTAGTGGCAGTTTTAATAAAATGAATAAACAGCAAACTGACACTATTCTAACCTAACCTAACCCAACCAAACTTCTCAGACAGTTTAAAATTTGTTGTCGCACATTTTTAAAATTATTGTACAATATGTTAGTAGTACTTTTTACAAAGTGCATAAACAGTCTGGAGATAATATAAATCAACTACTCGATTCATTATAACCTCAACTTTACCTTCATAATCTAACCTAACTTCAAAACACTTAATACAGTCACGAGTCTACATAACACCCAACCTACCAACTTCACATGTCTAAATAAGAACTGAAGTAGTTCATAATCAATGCTCAGTTGAATTTACAAATGCCTCTACCTCTGAATAAACTTAAGTTACTCTTTGTCATCTTAGGTTTCTTCTTCTTCCCTAGACAATCCT